TTTGATGCACTCTGAATGCGACGAAAAAATATATTAATATACATTGTATTCAACAAACGATGAGTGGGTTTGCGTGAGGAAACAACACCATGGCGCGATATTGCGACCATATAATGGATACCAACAGGTGTCCGAGATGCGAATGCTATTTTGTGAATAATGGATATTGATTGGCCTGGGCTTGGGCGGCACACGTCGCTATACAGTGATGGAAAAAGTATTTGATCCCCTGCTGATTTTGTACGTTTGCGCACTGACAAAGAAACGATCAGTCTATAATTTTAATGATAGGTTTATTTTAACAATGAAAGACAGAATAACAAGAAAATCCAGAAAAACGCATGTCAAAAATGGTATAAATTGATTTGCATTTTAATGAGGGAAATAATTATTTTACCCCCTTTCAATCACAACGATTTCTGGCTCCCTGGTGTCTTTTATACAGGTAACGCTGTGGGGGATCACGATATAATTTTCTCCAATACCAAGGTTCTTTGCAAACCCACGGACTTTTATCAGAGATTTGTTCATGAAGCAATTCAGATCTACCAACACAGACACAATTTCAACCGAGAAGATGGTTTCAAATTAAGCAACCATTGGAAAGATGTTCTAAATCGAACTAAACATTAAACTAATTTCAATGGTACAGTATATTTTTTCAAGTAGTGGTACCCCAAACTTTCGCAGCTCTTATAAATTCCCTTTTCACACCATCAATAGGTAAACTCCCCCCACCACGCACCAAACGGCAAGTCCACCGGCACGTACACCACCTCTTTCCTAAAATCGGCCAATCAAATGCTAATTTTTTTATGCTAATTTCTTTGTCAGAACACCTTGTTTGCTCGCACACAGTTTAAAGGTCCGCTGTCTGAGCGTGGTTGTGTTTCGCTAAATTATCCTGTTTGATTAGTACTAGGTGCTTCGGTGAATGTATATGCTCTGACTTTAAAATAGCTATTTCTGTGACCAGTTACAAGCTAATCACTCAGCTATTTCAATGCTAAATTCTATGCTAATTCCTTTGTCAAGGGGTACCTCTGCGGATGTGTATATTTTAACTTAGCTATTTCAATGAGCCATTTCAATGCTAAATTATATGCTAATTCCTTTGTCAAGGCGATTTGTTTTCTTCTCACACAGCTTAAAGGTCGTGATCTAAGCGTGGCTTTCCTCACTCCAGCGCTGTCCTCCAGACAGTCTCGTCCCTTCACCTGATGAAGGCCGCTTGTGTTGTGGCCGAAACGTCGTGATCTTTTGTTATTTTATTTTCACCTACGTGACTTTACCCAATAGAACCAAAGAGTATTGCACGAGTCTCCATCAATTGGGGTTCCTGATAAATATTCCGTGTCTATTAATGTAATCTAAGTGTTTCCTTTTCAACAACTTTTGAGTCCGCAGAAGTGTCCCAAAATCGGCGATTGTTCGATCCTTTCGTTTTTGTATTTGCTGTAAAGGGTTACATGTTACACCACGATGTAAATACATATCATCTATGTATACAAGTTCGAACAAAATTACAAACTTTTGGACTCTAAAAAAACTTTAAAAAACACGCGTTTGTCTTTGGGAACGTTTATTTATCAGCAACCACCGATTGATCACAACCACAAGCAACATCGCAGGAACCACGAACACCACCACCACCATGAGTAACCACCACCACCATGAGTAACCACCACCAGCACCATGAGTAACCACCACCATGAGTAACCACCACCATGAGTAACCACCACCACCACCATGAGTAACCACCACCACCACCATGAGTAACCACCACCACCATGAGTAACCACCACCACCATGAGTAACCACCATCACCATGAGTAACTACCACCACCATGAGTAACCACCACCACCATGAGTAACCACCACCACAACCACCACACCCGCCAGTCGCCACTAAGTGACGGTGACGTCACCACGGCCAGGTGCACTTTGAGGCCACGTGAAGTGTCGAAGGCTCGATGGCCGAAGGTCATGGGACAGACCCAGGTGCCATAGGTTGACTAAGATGACCGGCAGATGCACCAGCTGTGCTGTTTAGCCGCGCGGTGCTCCGCTCGTTGTTGTAAGCGTCGCTCCTCTGCCAGCCGATGTTGTTGGAGGGCGACTGCCTCTGACTGACCAGTAGCGTCCTTCACGAGCCTCCTCCACCACAACCACCGACCATTAACCTCGTGCTAGCCGCACAATCTTTTTTTTTTAAATAAACGCCCAAAAACGCATGTTTCGTGAAGTATTGAGGAATACAGTAGAGTACTATTGTTCCGCATGGAAATATGGTCAGGAGCTAAATGCCAATGTTGAGATCTGCTGGCCACGGCGAGAGGGCTTCATGAGTTTAGCGCTCGTGTCGTTTTGCTATTCCTCCTCCTTTGACGGAGCCGCGGTACCGCAGCGCGTTGACCTTCGCGTTCCACAGCTTGGCGTAGCAATGCCCCCGTCGCCACAACGCGGCACTCAAAGCGCGCCCCGTTGGTCCCCACGGCGCCACGCGGATGGCCGCGAGCGGCCCCTGGCGGTGGCACCGCGCGGCGCCAGGAGGGGGCCGCGCACCAGCGCGGTCTCTGACCCCCACGTCCCGTGTGTGTATTTTACCGTGTGTTGGAAGTTCTTTCGCACCGTACGTGGCCAACCGTGCCAATCGGAGTGTGCGGGGGGGACGGACAACAAACTAGACACAAAAAAGCACATCCTCTTTGGTTCTTTCGGTAAAGTCACGTAGAATGAGAATAAAATAATAAAATAACACAATAAAATTCTCACGATGTTTCGGCCACGGAAGACGGCCGCTTGCGTTGTGGCCGAAACGTCGTGAGAATTTTATTGTGTTATTTTATTGTTTTATTCTCATTCTACGTGACTTTACCGAAAGAACCAAAGAAGATTAATCCTTGCTGTCACGAAAGCTTTAAATCGAAACAAAAAGCACAGTTAGAAAGAATTTACTTTGCAATCTAGATTACTTAAAAGTGCATAGCTCCAGTGTCTTCCTAATATCGGAAGGGCGTTCCAGACGGCCGCAGAAGCGCACCTGAAAGTGCGCGATGCAGTGACCGTCTTTGTTCTATGGCGAGCCAAAAGCCACTGTGAAGATGACCGGAGTTCACGCGATGGTTTATGCTTCTTGACGTGATCATCAAGGTATTATGGTTCATTTGTGGCAAGCACTTTATGTGTAATGAGTGCGACCATTTGTGTTCGTTCAGCCAGGTCATTTCCATTGCACATTGAGAAGGGAGATGTCCCGGCGGTTGTTACAATCAGTACGACCAACCTTCTTAGAGGGCCACCAGGGAATCCTTCCAATCCTGCGGAACCCACCCTGTGATCCAGGTAGTTGTGATTGTCATATAGGGCAGTCTGCAAACGCAACCCTCCCTCATACATTTGCTTGGGAGATTATCTCTGCACTGCACTTTCCATGGTCTCAGACTCTGGATCGCTTTCTGTGCTTCCTCAATAAAAATGGCACATCAGCGAGCCACTCACATGGGGTGGCTACTTACTCCAATATTTGATGTACGGCAGCCCCAGGAGGGCCATCCCCACCTTGCTCCACGATGTTATCTGGGCTGAGGGGGTTCCCCTCCCCTCCTGGAGGTCAGAGATTGGATCATCATTCTTTCCCTTAAAGGTGGTAATTGGGGTGGCTCTGCAAGTAACTTTTTTGATGGACTGAATTAGTTATTTGTGATCGCGAGCGACCGAGGCATTTCCATTTCCTCAGCAACCCAGGACCACCATTCATCCTTCCAGCACTGTACAGCTCTCTGAACCTCCGAGTGAAGGCTGTGGTAAGCCTCATTCTTCGAAGTGGGATGTTGTAGACAGTCGGAGTGGGCCTGTCACATTCACCTCCATCATCTCTGGGAAGGTATGGACTGTTTACCCAAAGCAGCCATCACAGTTGCAAGAGCCAAAGTCCTGAGCTTCGCCCATTTTCCCTCGGCATCAAGAGGTGGACGGGGAAGATGCCAATCATAGCTGCAAGCGATGATGAAATTCTCACAATATCAGAGTCGAGCCGAGGTCACTGTAGAATGGCAGGCACATCTACAAATGACATGCAGATGATCATTGGCAGATCAGCTCCACGGTAGGTCCTGGTGTCAGGACCTATCGCATCCTCGGTTCCGTCACGATATAGTCCACAAGATGGTTTTGCTTGGACTTGGCGCGCATCCATGATGTTGTGTGGATGCGCCTATGTCGGAACAGCGTGTTGGTGACTACAAGTCCATGGGCTGCACAGAAATCGAGCAGCCTCATACCGTTATTATTGAGCTGATCTGGGCCCATGTCTTCCAATCACTCTGGCTCAGGTGACTGCGTCATGACACACTGAGGCATGACAGTCACCCAACAGGATGACTCCACCCCTAGGTGAAACGTAAGCTAGCACCTATAACAGGTCATAAAAGGCATTCGACTCATTAGCTTTGCCATCAATGCTAAATATCACCTCAACCAGAAGGAACACCACCAACAATGTGAAAGAGACGTCTTCAGACGTCTGCTTGTTTGTCGTATCTTATACTTACTTCTGTCAAGTATTCTTAAAGGTAACAACAGTATAACACGCTTTGATGACATCGCAGTGTGACTCGCTTGCACCCCACCTCCCAGCTGTTTATATTCCTGCGGGTCACCCAGCCAGTGGGACCACGCGGCGCGCTCAGCCAATCGTCTGTCGGCACGGGTGTTTGACGAAGCGGAACGCCGACGTCATCCACATTGCCACACCCAAACCACGTGGTCGCCTTAGCCAATCGCGCCTTGGCATGGGCGGCGGCCGCGAATGCGGGGTTGGCGGGTGGGGAGTGGAGGGTGGGGCCGGCTGGGGGTGGGGGGTGGGGCCCGACCCTCCCATCCAACGAGACCCGCCCCCACCCTTGATCACGAGGGACGCTGTTGACCAATCGCGCGGGCGATCTGGCGGTGGGCGGAACTAAGGGAATTCCATTTCCGCCCAGCTCGCGATCACGTGGCGTGGGCCCGGCCAATCGGGTGTCGTCGCGGGGCGTGGGCTCGAGGCGATCGGTGTCCCGCTCAGTGCAGCCGCAGCAGCAGCAAGGGCAGCAGCATCATCATCAGCAGCAGCAGGGACCATGGTGAGTGAGGTCGCGAGTCCCGCTCGCCTCACCACAACCCTCACCGCATTTCATAATGTAGCCGATGTATAATGAATGCGACTACGGTGGTGCTGACGGTAATGGTCATAGGTGCTACTCGCGAACAGCCCCTGCCCCCAACAGTCTGTTAAGGCTCTACGGGGATCTTTGTCGTTGCTGGTGATGATAAGAGGGGAGCGGTAGCGTAGCGGTGAGCGCGCTGCGCTAACGAACCCGCCGACCCGAGTTCGTTTCCTGCTCACGGACACCAACACCAGTGCATGCGATTATCCAAACTGGTTATGGGCCTCCCCTAGGTCGGCTCAGCCTCAAATGAGTACCTGCCGCGGTGTATAAACACACCGCCAGCGTGGCCGGGCGTGGTGCTGGCCACCCACCCCTTCGTGTGCCTTGTCGGCCTTCATAGGTGCTCGCTGACAGCTCGTGCCCCAACGTTCAGGCTATATGGGGGTGAGGGGAGGTGGGGTCTTTGATGATGGTGCGATGTGTCGCGGGGAGTGTTGAGAGTGCGACTCGGCGCGCCACGCCCGGCCGCTAAGCTGGGGAGGGCTCCCGGCCCCAACGCAGTGGCTGGCAGACGCCACTGGGCTATGCTCTAAACAGCCCCCCGTGTTGTTGTGCTGCTGTTATTGTTGTTTGTTGGGGTTGTGCTTCTGCAACGCGTCTCGAGTCGGGCTTTTATTTTGCTTTGACCGAGTAACAATGTAATGCGGTTGTTCTGTGTTTTGTGTCCACAGTCTGACTTCAACGAGGACCAAATTGCCGGTAATTAAATCTTACCTCATTCGTGTTTGTCTTACTCATGTCCGTGTGCATCGGAGGTGACGTCGCATGGTCGTTATGTGGTTACTCTCATTGTTTCAGGGTATCATGGTGAGTGTGTACTGTAACGTCTCGCCATACGCGATGGGGGTCTCAGTCGTCAGGAAGAGGATCTTATCTCAATCACTGTAGGGTCTCACAATGTTAAGATCTTGTCATCATTGACTCCGGCCTCATTGTCAGCAGGAATAGCCTCTCTCCAGCTCAGTCCCACACATTGAACTTTTACCAATTACAGCAAATATGCTTCAGAGTTCGGTTCGTAATCTTTGTTTAATCGTTTGTGTTGGCACGGGGTGCTAGGTTATCTTCGGTATTGCACCCCATACATGAGTACAGTGGTAGGTTTAGTGAAATGCTGTATGGTTAATTGCAGGTGGGGTGTTTATGAGTTGCATACCCATCTTTAGCCGTCAATAAGCCGTGCCACGCTGTTATTGTGTGCACACACCCATTGAACACCAAACTTGAACATTTGTTTCCAGCCAACTAATTCTCATAAACATGCTTTGTTGTACACGTTATTTGTATCAACCGCTTTATAACAAGGTTTATTTCTAATCTTGTTACCTTGAATGTACTATACAAAATTAATATACATTGAGAACTGAAAACCATCAACGTTCATTTTTTTTACTTTAACATGTCCATGCGTTTCAAACTTAGACCACTTCTTTGGAATACCAGTTTAATGCAGTTCAAGTGCCTAAAAACATGTACTATAGGTGTCTTTAGTGTAAGGAGGAGGCTTGTACAATGTGCATCGTGCCTTAAGGGCGTGTCGAGGTTGCACAAACATACCACAACTTCTCCAAATGAGGGCGTTTTATTATTTGAATCGTACAACAAAGTAGTGTTGTGTTGTCCTCTTTCCCTTAACTGACATTTGAATAAAGTGTACCCATCGTGGCTGTTGTATTATATATCGAATCACAACTGATATACAACGCTCGTTAGGATCCGAGTACAGTATCCCGTGCTGGAGTTATCACAGATGTTATTACATCACATGTTTCCCGCAGCATGTTTTTAATGTCCAATGTTTACTTGCAGGTTTTATATAATATAGATTCTGCCTTGAGCAAACTTTCTGTACAGGGTGTGGGAGCTGTGAACTAACGATACAGTTGAATGTTAAACGAGATAAGCCCCATGACGTCAACCCTTCCGCATTCCCACACAATGCCTTTGCTTATACATATATATCCATCTTTAATGTTCCTTCTCAACCCTTTATTTGGGTAACTTGCCTATCGTCCGAAAAGACGCTGGGAGAAAGGAGTGCCCAAAATTGGCGTTGTGCCTTTTTTTCCCGACCCGCAGCCCAAAGTGGGCTGACACCGGGGATGATGAACGTGGCTTGGCCTCTGCTTTCTTCCTTATATGGGCACAGTGGCAGCGCGCTTCGGGGCGCGTTGCGTGGGGCCTGCGTCATGGGGGAGTGGCCTCCGTTTGAGCCACGGGCTTGTCGCTTCCCCTCGGATGTTCATCGCTTCAGCTTTCATGCACGCAAGTCATCCATGCCCAGTCCGTTGCTGGATGTAGTCCTCCCCAAGCCTCCTTCATCGATCGCGATCCTGCGATGATATAACAGCAACAAAAACCGCTTTTCGCCACGAAGTGGTGGTGACGTCACCAGGGCACTTGTGCCAGGCTATGTGCACTTTTAAGGCCACGTGAGGTGTCGAACGCCCGCTGGCAGGAGGTCAGAGGACAGACCCAGGTGCCATGAGTTGACTTAGATGACTGGTAGATGCGCCACTGTGCTGGCTTGCTATGTTTTAGCCACTCGACGCTCCGCTCGTTGTGAGCGTTCCTCCTTGACCATCCGGTTTTTTTTAGGGCGACTGCCTCCAAATGCCCGGTAGTGTCCTTCACGAGCCTTCTTAAATTTAATAATACTACCTAGCACATGCACACACGATGGATTTCATCGCACCGCTCCTTATCCTCGGTTGACGTCCTCAAGGACGTGCTCAATCCCTTGACTGCCACTGTCATTGTTCTTGATAATCTGCCCTTCTAGCACAACTAAGGATGAAAATACAACAGAAAATATAATTCCCCTCTTATTCAGCCCGCACACATTCCAAGGACATCCATCTCTGCTATGCATCAGGGTTCGGGTGTGTACAAGACCACTTTTGTCATCTCTCCCCAGCCCTCATGTTTACACACTGCACTGCTTAAGGCTGAATAAACCTAGGAAAGGCCAATGATAGGTGCTAATACGGCTTTCCACTGACATTAGCCGTGTCTTGGATAACAGCATTGTGTGGAAACAGCTACAACACCACTAACTACACATGGCCAGGTTTATATACCGATTAAACAGCCAGGACACATGTTGGTAGTTTATCCCATTGTGAGTAATGGAGACATTTGCACATTTTCGCCACAAACTGAAGAGGAACATCTACCAACACATGAATTGCATCCAAACTTTTATACATATACAGGTGTTTATATCAGCAAACTATGGTTGGTTATTTCTCTACATCAATTTTGTCAATAGGAATTCCTTATAGCCCAATGGTTGCATGGCATGTGTTTGTCGTCATACAGAAACAACCATTATATTGCATGGGCAGTGTACGCTCTATTATACGTAGCATTAATCATACAAGCTGACATTCGCCCATTAAATGAGAATCCCCATGACCTTGAAAATTATGTGCAAGCTGATACAAACATTCATCTACACGGATCATAGATGCATCCACATTAGGGAAACATGAGGTGGTGTTTACAGTCATGGGAATTCAAAAAGCCACACTTTAATCCTTTTATGGAATAAACACACTCAGTCATGCCCAGTTCACTTGTAAGCCGTGTTTTGGATTTGCACAAAATTGGTATTTTTTGCCATACTGTGAACATAAAGTGGAGCTTTAATTATCTGTGCTAGTATTTCATACCAGACAGTATTCAGTATAAAATGCTACCCTTGTGTAATGAGGTGGGATTTTGTTGACATGTGAAATTAACATTGCTGAGAAGACATTGGCCATCATAGATATGCAAGTAATTTTGAGTCGATTTTGGCCTCCTTTATTTCACTTGACATGCCTAGTTAACACTGAGGTATTTAAATATTGCAGAAATGTATTGGTCACCATGCAATTGTTTCATGGTGTTATTTTCTTTACGAATCTGATTGTTACACATCCATCGAAATATCTGCTTTAACATGGATAGGCTACACCGACAGATAGAATGAAAAGTGCGCAAAGCAGCATGAGGGGAGCTTGAGATTACACTGAGTGATGGAAAGAAAAACACATTGATCAGAAAATAAATACAACTTCAGACAATGGCTTTAGAAACGTGGGTTTGGGCAGAATACTTCAATCGAAGGAATTATGCCAGTGGTCAAGATGGAATCGTAGTCAACTTGGGGAACACATCCAAAAGGAAGAGCATCGGGGAGCTATCAGTTAATGTGCAGGAGATATATGGATTATTATTAAGTTTTGTTTAAGTGATTGATTTTGATACAAACAGGTTGGCAGATAAATATACCCACAGTTAAACGGTGGTTAACTTAATTGCTATGAATATAGTGTTGGACTAAAAACTACGACACTCAAAGCCTATCGCAACTCGGCAGTTTTAACAACTTAAGCATGTGCTTTTTAAGGGGTTATAATCGCATTAAACAGCCACGTGATTAGTTGCTGACGTAAGTTTGGTCACGAATTAGGTTTTTCAAATTGTATAAACCTCTATTTTGTAATCCAAAAATGTGTTTCTAAGATATTTAATGCGTTTCATTTGTTTCACCACATTGTTCTCACTTGTACCGTAAATGTAGAATATTTCTTCAAATTTACATAACCAAACCCCCTTTTTTAAGTGAATTAGGAGCTGTTTTATGTATGTATAGTCTCAAACTAATATTTCTTAATGTAGTTCTGCAGAGCACTATCAACACACTTTGGATTTGTTCACCGTAAAAAAATCTAACATTTTTATAAGTTATGGTATCATAAGTTATGGTATCATAAGTTATGGTATAAGTTATGGTATCATTAAAGATCTTATGTGCAAGACATGCGGTAAGGCCTCGACATCTGCGAGGGTTCGGTTCTTGAAAATCTGCGCAAAAGTAGAATTTGCGAATGTAGATACTTTTGTATGCAGTTAAACAATGTCCTTTTGTGTAAAAATGTGTGAATGAAATCTGGCTTGTTATGCAGATATAATAACACCTGATTTTAATACCTGTAAGAGAACATTGGGTTGTATCTACATTTCCATGTTTACATGAGGTACACAAAAATGGAGTAATGATGTATCAAGGACATTACAGGACTCTTAAAAGACACAGCAGGCGATGTGTAAGCAGGTCAGCAAAAATTGGGATGAAGGAAGACGATGACAAAAAAGGTTAAGTGCTGGCCGAGTATTGATAAAACAGCATCCCAGAGCTGATAAAGCAAGAGCTGAGAGTGGAGCGGGGAGGTGAGGAAGGGTGCTGTGTTTTTGCAGTACTCCATTGAAACCATAGTGCATGACCTCCATTCTACACTGGTGCTCTTGACAGCTATGTGCCATCCAAAAAGATGATTCATATTCTCTGTGGATGACTTGCCTTGAATTCTAAGCAACCCATCAGTATTTTAACAGGCCGCACCCTGCTGATGGCAAATCTTGGTGGAGAACATTGGTCCAATATGCCCAAAAGCTGATGGAAAGCAATGTAATGGTCAATGGTATGGTTAAATAGACCATCTATGTTGATTTCAGGCAGTAGTTGCAGTAATATGAATTACACAATGTATGTCATAATGAGGAGCTGTTGTAACCATGCTATAATACAGTGTTGTTATTTTAACCTAAACATTAATATTTTGTATTTTGCAATATGATTAGACTTCAAGGAGGCATTCTCCTTGTTTGACCGGACCGGCGACTTGAGGATCGGCTACAACCAGTGTGGTGAAGTAATCCGGGCCCTCGGTCAGAACCCCACCAATGCGGACGTGCTGAAGCTGCTCGGAAACCCCAAGCCAGACGGTACGCTAGCAGAGTTTCTGGGGAGCAAGAACACCTAGCAGACCTTTTTCTTCATCTAAATCCTTGGTACAGTAAGCTTTACCTTTTACTCTAACACTGTTCCTTGACTAGCACAGCTCCAGAAGTGGCTGATGACGTTTTTTTTCAAGTATGCAGTGGAACTCTTCACCAACAATCCTATAATCTGGAGTCCGAATCGATTTACAAAAACTGCTGTTTTCTGTAGAATCAGTTTTTGTTTCCCATTATCCATTGCAGTTGGTTAACCAGCTGGCACTAGATTATTCCTATTTTTCGTGGGGCCTTTTTTGTAAGAGTCGCCGCATAGAATTAATCAATTGGTCACTAGCAGGCACTACATGCATCCTTTTATTTTTGCTTTTCCATGGATGAGAAGGTGACGATGATGAAAGTGCCCATCATGATTATCAATCATGCAGCTGTTAATGACAATCGTTGATGTTTATGTAATCATTATGCTATTGCCGATGATCATGTTTTAGCGACTGGTGTTCGTGATGATCAAATTATTTATTCAAAAAAATCGTCATTGAGTCTCAAGACACTTTTTTTTTATAAATGTGCTGTATTGAGACAATTGGCCACTTCCATTTATAAAGCGTTTGAGCTGTGGGAAGAAATTGGTCAACCAGAAGGAATCTCAAAAGATTCCCACAGGTTCAGTCTACAGACCCCCAATAAATTCTGTGGACTGAGCTAATTGCTTTGCTACCATCTCCTGGCCACTTTGCAGCACAACACCAATGTTTTTCATTAATATGATTTGCCAGAAAGTGGTCTCACCTCTGGCACATTGTTGTATATATATAGACCTTTTTCAAAAATTGATGTTAAGAATAATTCTGCCAATATATATTTTTTATAATAATCGATTGGGGTGAGCTTGGGGCATGAAAGGATGAGGCACACCCCACCCCTCACACCCAGCTGCCTTTCACATTAAAAGCAACTCGAGGGAGGAGGCCATGAAGAGCCATTAAATAATAAACTCCAGGGCAAAGAGAGGTTAACGACGATCTGGGAAATATCCACGGTACGGGGGACCATCGGTCACACCTCCACGGACGTTTTGGACAGTTTCACAAACATCTGACACAGACACAGAGCGACAAGAATGAATCGACATTATAGACTGCAGTCTACATTAGTGGCTTTTATTATTATTTTATTTCACCCTTATTCACCTCATATTGTTTCTTGTATCTTTCTACGCACGTGACTTTACCAAAAGAACCAAGGAATATGAATTCAGGCAATCACGAAAGCTTAAGTCAAGACTGAGCTATATCTCCAACCTCAGGATATCAAAATATCACTCGAGAATAAAGCACCGATCCCTGGAGACACGGACTGAGAACAAAGCTTTGCAAAACCCTCAGAATACCTGTGGTCAAAATTATGATACATCACAAATCTTGGTTAAACATAAACCAAATAATAATCATGATGTATTTAGACCTAGGGTAACTCAAAAGAGATGCAACGAAAATAGGTCAAACACACAAGACCAGATAATATGTATTCCATGGAATCAGAGCCTCCCGGCCGCCTTTATCTTCCAACTATTTGACACAACACATGGTAGCAATACAATACGTATGAAGGGAGGGTGTCTCTACCCTTGAGACAGCAAACACCTCGAAGGCAGAGGAGGAGGGGGGGTAACAAAAACATGGTGATCAAAAGCAGCCAGTCAAAGGTCAAAAGGGGGTGGGGCAACCAGGCGGCTGTGGCCACGAGAGGAGAACGAGACAGAGGGCATCTGTTTTTTGTGCAAGAGACGCGCAGAGGGGAGAGAATTTCACATATAAGCAAAGACAGATCATGCAACTTAGTACTGCGAGGGGCAGGCTCCGGGGCATGGCCTAGAGACCAACCATGGGTGTCGTGTCTCGCAGAAAAGAGGGGCGAGGTGTTGCTAGGTGCTGAGTTGGGCATGGACCGACAAGAGTATCGCTGAAAGTTTTATTCTACATTTATCCTGATGTTTTGAGTCGCTTGCAGAGTCAAGGATTACGATAAGTTGTATTGTACTAAGGCATCAGAGTTGTGTAAGAGGTGTGCGAATACAATTTGCAAGTTTTGAGAGAGTGATACAGCCAGCGACGAGCAGCTCACAGCAGGGGAGCCTCTTGGAGGAAGGGCGGAGAGCACGGAAGTTGAGCAACGACAAGGCGAAGCCCTGAAGGAAGGGTGGGAGAGGCACCACTGATTGCCAGTGTGAAGCTGGCAGCTGTCAGTGTCGGGGTTTTATCCTACGTTCACATTAGCTGCCCCGCCCATCTCTAAACCTTTATAAACCGCTTGCCTTAAGAGGCTTAACCTCCCTGTTCCTGATGGCGACTGCTTGTGTTGTGATCAAAACGTCGTGATAATTTTAATCACTTTATTTTTTATTACTATTTATGAATTCCTGCAGTCACGAAAGTTTAAAGTCAAAACTTGTCCAATGCAGTTAAAGAGGAATTCCATTGTATATCAATGATCAATCAAAGTTGATGTAATAATGTTCGTGTTACCATGGTACGTTTCACATGTTTATTATCACTGTAGAAATGAGCACAAAGACCTTGGACTTTGAGCAGTTCCTACCCATGCTCAGCACCATCGCCAAGTCCAAGGACCAGGGTACCTTTGAGGACTTTGTGGAGGGGCTGCGTGTGTTCGACAAGGAGGGAAACGGCACAGTGATGGGAGCTGAGCTCCGCCACGTTCTCACCACGCTCGGTATGTATCATCATGATGATGATGGTAGTGATGGTGGTGGGTATGGTGATAGAGTTGAACACGTGCTGTGTCCGTAAGGGCTGTGCACAGTTTGGAGGGTAGTTCGATTCCAATCCTCTTTCGTAAGAAGGTTCTAAAAGCTCGACGATGAACCTGTGTTGTTTCAGGATGCAAGGGGGAAGTTCCTTGTGTAGTAGATATTTGTACAAGAAAAACAACGTGTAACAGCCTACCAGTTAGTTATAAGTGTCACATTTACACTTAATTTTGAAACTCCGAATCATCATGTATAATGTATGTCAACAGTTGTACAATTGGTCGAAATTTGGGTAGAATCTGTACATAGATGAATTGCTGCTTAACTGTCACAAGCCATTAAATAGTGACACTTAATACATTTTCACCTCCTTCCTAAAGCAGTGGTTTGCATGTGTTTAGCCTTTTATAGTTTTGTAAATTGTTCCTTTTCCTATACTGCCTAGAATGTATTTTTGTGTTGCCTGCATAAATGGTTTTATTAATGAAGATTCTCAGGAGAAAATGCCATTTTTATGAACCATAAAAAATATTTTAAAATCGTTATTTTTCAGGTTTTTAATGGCCTACAAAAACGAATGTAGGCCTAAAGCTCTGCTTGTGCACTCTGCTAGACCATCATTGGCATGGTGCTTTTAATCCTCATGCCATAGAATTTTTGATGGTAGTGATAGAACCATTTCATTGAAATAAATTGGGCTTGTGGCATAATTGCCTGAGGCAGCTTTCGTCAAAAGGGGTTGCAGGTCTGGTGCACTCAATGTAACTTGCCTCTCGGCTCTCAGATAATCGTATCGTGCGCCCGATTGCGCATACAGATTGTGCATTCGTGCCGTGCGCCCTGTTGTGCTGTTCCCTGTACCGCATTGAAAGTGCATGGTCCTTAAGCGGAAGAGTTCATTGCCATTTGTATTGGTGGTGTGATGATTACTTGTTATGATTTCATTGGGTTGAAGTCGGTCATGTTGATCAGAAACATGACCTTTGTCTTCGGTGAATCATCTGGGTGGAAGTTTGGTGGCACAATAAAGCCAAACACTGCCACTTTTGTGAATCGTGCAGCACATCTCCCAGCTCATAAAAGCCATTGTCATTGATTTGACTTCACTTTTTTAAATGGCAATAAATCAATAACAGGAATTAATATATTCCACAGTTACCTAATTTTAAATGTATCATATGAGGACAGGCATAAATATGTTTCATATTTTTACAAGTCGCGTCCTTTTATATTATAATACGTACAAATATTTTTAGACTAAACATGCTCATGACGGGTTGTGGTGAAAGTGGCTGACAGAAGGCCATGTATTGAGTTCGGGCTTTGTGAGAGATTTAATCGCTGCTCTCTGCTGATTTGTGTTCGCAGGAGAGAAGATGTCCGAGGATGAGGTGGAGCTACTCCTGGTAGGGCAGGAAGATAACAACGGATGCATCAACTATGAGGGTAATTTGCTCACAAGCTTAAAATAAAATGCCTTTGTTTCATTCTCACAATGAATTTTGCTTCAGGTAAGAGTTGGTGCTTCATAGCAGCAGCAAATGGCAAATATTTTATAAAAAACAGAGCTGCGTGCAGAAATTTGTTTTCATTCTGAAAAAAAGCCTTAAATTGGTCTTAATTTTTACTCATCGGAGTGGGCACTTTCTCATAATCTCCTCCGTGAGATTCTCGCATAGGAATGTATATATTTGAACACATTTTCAAGCCAGATTATGCCCAAATCAAGTGCAAAACCAATTTAATGGTGGTTATTTGTTGTGCAGTCATCAACTCGCTGCACTTTAGAGACCAGTTGAATTTTGGGTGACTGCCCTGATTCAGACCCAGCGTCTCCACAGTGCTGGCCCAGCACTAAGCCTCCAAGCTACCTCTAAAACAAACACTGATTTCACATACACTTTTACTTGTACGGGTGTCCACAAAGTTGAATGAAAATACATTGCTAAAGGCTAACGAGTGCATACACTTTTAATGTATGTCATGTTAATTGCAAGTATCTCATATTTTATAGGTACATTGTGTTTTAGGGATGGTTTGTGAAAAAAAATGCATTTTAATGACATTTTAATTACATTTAAATTTCTACCAAAGTCCTATGAGAATGTTTTAAAATACTCTGGGGAACTGTTTTCATTTTGCAATACAGTCCTTTAAACACATCTAATTTGTTGTGACCTGGAAATTCTAATTGCACCATCCACTAGAATTGTGCACAGACTCTGTAACTTTATGACATTGCACAATGGAATCAAGTGCACATGACATTTGTAATATGTGCATTTCATACACAGTTGTTGCAATACAACAGTGTGAAAATTTATACCATGGTTATTTCTTAAAATGTCTTAAACCTTGCATTCCTTACATTCTTAAAAGCCTTAATATTTCATCATCATCAGCCATGTTTTAGCCATCGAATGAAGGCCTCTCCCCACATCGCAGACGTCGCTCGTGGTCTTGCGTTGCCACAATCGCTGTCGCTGCTGCACAGCACTCCGTGGTAGTTGTCCTCACCGGTACGTCACTCCTTTGGCTGCCGTCCTCATTCATCAACCATCGACCAATCAACATGGCTGATGGATGACCCATGTCCATCTGTGCTCTTTGATTTAATGCTCAACATTCATGTCTTAAACTTTTTCTAAAAGAATTTGTATTTAGCTTAGCCCTCTTGGGCAGTGTTAATGTGTAACTTGCGTTGTAAATATACAGTGTAACACTTTAAATATACGTTTGAAAGCGGTTATTAATGGTAAATATGTATTGCCTTGGCAGCTTGTTTTCTAATATTTGGTCCAAATGTTTTATATACAAAAACAAATTTCAGTGGACGTACATTCCCATTAACCTCATATTGACTTTCTCAGTGGAGAGTCAATCTCAAGCCAGTGTCCCAAAGAAAAACGTATATCTTTTAAATGTGTGAGCATTGTTTTGTACAATGAGAGGTTAGCTAAGGAATAATTTAACATCAACTTATTAAAGTGTGTACAGGGTGTGCTTTTCAGTCTGTCTGAATGAGTTAATTAAACTTGTTGTAGAGGGGGTTTTTTCCATTAAATGATGTGTTGAAGAATTCTTATATAATACACACTTGGTGGAAAGAGTCATTCACAAACCCCTGCTATTTCATAATGTTACTTTTTTCCATAAAAAGGTATTGTTGATGAGAAGTGGATTTTTAGCACTTGTGGGTTGATGATCACGAGTGGTCACCTGAACAATCAGGTGTAGTATGTAACGACATTGCACATCGGCTACTAAAATAAAATCTTTGTTAAGCTACATGCACAAACCAAATATATTGTTGCTTAATATGACAAGTCTTGTTTCATAGTCTAATTTAATTATATGGAACTAATATTTGCTTGAGTACGAGGTAACGTTTAAAATTTACATTTAGTTTAGATGCTGTAAGGTATGATGTCACTCTGAGGCAGGTGTGTGCATGTACCATTTGTAATGGCTGCCAGAAAATGGCCCTTGAATGACTCAATCGCAATGGCATTCTAAAGACATTCAGGCAGTGTTTATTCAGTCCCAGTATAGCGCAATATAGATACAGTATTTGATTGCCTCCAATGAACAAGCTTAAGCATTCCTTATATATGACATTGTGCCTTTGAGCACAGGTGTTGGTTTAAATCTATAGCTACATAAGCAGGTTGTACTGCATAGTGACAGCTTATTGGGAAGGGCATTATGTATAAAGCTCTTGAGCTCATGCAAATGCTTTAGTTTTTGAAACGTGGTTTATATATTTCGCCATGGTCATGTGTAGATGACATTTTATATGGGGATTTTTTTTTTACGTAGCCTTTTTCATGTCAACTCCAGCAATTGCACTACAGCAATTGTATGGATGTTGTTTGGTGTCATTTGTACATTTGTTTTGTCCATGATGTTGTTTGCGTTCACGTTGTGGTATTTTTACAGCTTTTATCAGACACATCATGTCTGGCTGAAAAGCCCGTTATGGTAATGCCTTTATGGTTTTGAGTTTGGCTGCATGTTTGTTCCTGGCCTGCTTGTAGAGTACAGCTTCAAGGAAATGAGCTTCTATGGCTGCTGCTGCTGTAGTGCACGGATCAGCATGGCGGAGTGCCAGCCCAGACCCTGCATATGTTGCTGAGCTGGATGTTGAATGTGCTGTGCTTTTTCTCTAGACTTGGACCACAAGCACAATTTACTAATTTGTTAAAAATGTGAGCAAGGGGCAACCTCCTGTGTATTGCGAGTGGTCCAAGAGCTCAGTTGATCCGGCCTGGATGATGTAGTTTGACCAATCACAATACAGCAAATCTGCAGCTTGCTGCTGCATAGCCAAAACTGTTCATCCCTACTGTGCAGCATTTTAAGCCAGTTCTGAAAAACAAATCATTATTAGAACTCATGTTCTTGTTCCAATTCTGGGTGCATTACGGAAAATGTATTGCAGAATTATGTTTTAATCACTAACATGCTGTTCGTACATATACACTCAGAAGTCTAGCATTGGAATCATGCAGCCGCATAGCATATTTCATTTGGAACATTTTCACTAACTGAAGGTCTGTTAAAAAAATCTAATTATATAACAAATTGTATCGGTGAATATACTAGTTATAAGGGTATTGGCCACTAGGTCGGTTTGTGTGAATTCAGTGGCTTGAATTTCACTACTACCCCAGTAGTTTATCCATGTAATTGCTACAGGATGTTGTCTTATGTAACATGGATATTAAATTATTATATGCTGTCCTTACCAACATTTTAAAATGACTCCATATTTGAAATTTCTCAAAGCACCATTTGTTTGATCATTTATTTTGTGAACATTAAATTTCAGCCTCTGTTATTTATTTAGTTATGTGAACTCAGCTAAATGAATACAAATACTTCAATTAGTTGTAAGCTTTAACAATCCCTTGCTTATGAATTCCATGCAGTAATAACTGAATGTGTTGTCTTGAATAACAGTGTGTGAACCCTGTAGTGCTATATGACTGAAACATTTCCATCAATTAAAACCACTTTTTTTTAGCTAATGCTGTGCTTTAATTATATTTGAGGTTTCCTTGCAAAGTATTAATCCAACTTAAAATCTATAATCACAATGCACCAAAATAACTTGGTTCATTAAGTTGCTATCTAATGTTATCTTTCAAGTTATTAATTGTCAATACATCTCATGTCATGGTGAAAGTAAGTTGGAAAGTGGCTGATAATTGTTTTGTATTCTACAGACGAATGGTATTTTTAGCACTCCTGCTTATCACGTTTTTTCTTCTTTCAACAGAGTTTGTCAGGCACATCCTGAATGGTTGAAGATTCGAGATGGACAGAACATCAAAATACACTTTTGTATCACCATAACCATTTATGACTACATACATTACACACAGCGTATATTCCTGCATGTCTTCATTTAACTTTAAAAAGTTAAATTCACAAATAGTGCACACATTCAGACATTCCATATGTACTGCACGTCTGTTTTCAATACATTCCTTTCACTTAAACTTTCAACGCATATTTCTGAAGAAATTTTTCATTTACTATTATGACTTGAGTTTTACATCTCAAATGGTGTAACAATCTTGCAGATGCATTGACCTGTTGCTGACAGTTGAGCTTTGTATGTACACCCTAATAAAGGTTAAATACTTTCCACTGTTGTGCGTGTGCTATGAACCCAATGGCAGTGTTGGCACCGTAGTTCGGACAACCACAGTACAGTTTCCACCTTCGATTCGTACTGTTGGCTACGTACGGTGCAAAATAAGTTCTACATACACAGTGCGCTTTGTTTGTACCTTAAATTTAGAGTTTATTCGTAACTGTCCATGTATACTGCATGTTCCCACGCATTATTTCAGGCTAAAATATAATTACCAAGTTTAAGAGCAGACTGGAGAGACTCGGGGTTCAAGACATGCTGCTTGCTCATAAACAACTGCTAGATGCGCAATTCAATACGCGCAACACAACCAGAACAACTGAAACAGACATCAAAACCCCCTGGCTCCCTTTTCTGGTGAATGGTCCACCACCAAATATCTGCAGAGACCTGCAAACTGCAAGGGAGTTTACACGTTTGCTTGCCCACGACAACCGGCCAACCCATCATCAACCAAGACCTCAACAATGTACCTCGTGAGCAACTCGTGTCCCAATCCCAATTCTGGGTGTGTGCTGTCACGATCCTGGAATCTCGTCCAAATCCTGAAGAATGCTGGCGAACAGTGGAATAACATCGTGGACGTCCAGAATGAACGCCCAATTGGAGACCAACACATTGCACCTCGCTGTTACATTCCGCGAAGACACTGGTGTAACCATGAACCACATGAGAACATCAATGGGCCGATGTGCACAACTCGAACAGAAAGAAGTCGGCGGTTGTGGCCATATCACGCAAACTATACACCGTATAGTAAACCGCGAAACTGCGCTCCTTCAACGGAGGAATGGTAGAACTACGCAAACTCCCGAAGCCTCGTGAGCTGCAGAGCTCGACAGTGGGATTTAGCTCCCGAATGTTGCCACTCGTAAGAAAATAATCTGCTCGTCTTTTACTTTTGTTTTTACTTAGTTTTCAAAGAGAGCCACGCAGAGTCGTATGACTTGCAGGAGGGTCCTGCTTTGGGATTTTATTTTAAGATGTTAGTGAAGCTAGTTGTAATTACTGGCAAAACGTACTCCGATTGTAAATGTTGTGGCTTGGCTCTCCAACACACCGGTGTGCTGTAACAGTGACGAATTGGCTTGTTCTGTTTACCTGACAACCCTTACTAGTTGGCTGTGTCTGGTGGTGGCGGGTTTAACAACACATTTACGCTATCTAACCCAAAAACCTCTTATGGATGATATTGGTCGCGAAAGCCTGCGTGTTAAAGTGCGAGAAAACCCACGTGAGTGGGCAACACTTTACCCCATACAGATGGAAACGGATGGCGATTGGTCTACTTGCTGTACTTCCTTCTGGCGAGCCAAAGTATGGCATCTCAGCACCCACGGGAAGGGAGTTTCACAACATTTGTGCGATTACACATGGCGTAGTTGCCTCCACAGTACTGAATTACAGGCGAGTGACACCACTGCCCAGCCTAAGGTTCCCTTTATCCGAGGGGGCATTTGTGTATTTGGAGTGAACTTTTGATTGTGGATGATTCTAGCTGGTATTTGTGAAAAGTTGTCAAGCGTGACATTTGTTACATGTGCATGCGTACAGTATGCTTTGTACACATGCACAGCAGCTGGAATGGTTGGGAAATTTATTTAAAAGCTCCATAGGTGACCAGTAATACAAGGTTATCGAGTGAAATATTGACGACATTGGGCAAATAATGTGGTCAGGTTTGGCGTAGGCAGTGCAGTAATTTTATCGTGAAATTGCAATCACCGACCACATTTTCCACTTGGAACGTAGGTTGGGAATACAATTGGCTGAGATAATATTTGTCTTTAAGTTAGCAGCCTATATGGAAATTGGGTACAATTAAGATATTATTATACTATATGAATCCCTGCTTGATGCTCACTGCTCACCTGAGTCTTGTTGACATTCCAACAAGAATAACTAGATGTCCCCAGCCCTGATTTAAGTAAGAAACAAACAACAAAATGTGGACATGCATAATATTGTGCTGCAATTTAGATTACGGAGCAAGATGTGTAACAGTGCAAATGTAAATTGCAGTGGCGTGGAATATACTTTTTGTTATCGGTACAAAATTCAAGGAAAGTTTAAGTCGCATGATAAATTCATCGGAGTTGACAGTCGGGCAACAGCTCACTATTGAGCCGTATTTTAGGCTAAATGCCGCCCATTAAATTCAACAGGATAGTCACGTGGTAAAATGACGGCTGTGGAGGGAATCGGGTGGGCGAAGTGATAATCAGCGGGTGTAGTATATAGTCATTTACATGCGAAATTGCAGCTAACTACACTATATGCACCCCCTCCCACGAGGTGCCTTGGAAAGGTCGCAATGGAATGCCCGGAGTAATGATTCGGATTAATTAAGTTAGAAAACCACGTGATGAGCAGCACTTGGGAATTGGGGACTCGTCTTTTACAGTTTATTTTTACCTGTGCAAAAATATGCAAAGCACAACACTGCAATGTGCCGGAGAGTGTTGTAAAAGTCGATTGCAAAACTACCACCCGTAACCCTATGATCAAAGGGCTTTAATGGGTGACCAGCATACACAAAGACAGCCGCCAAATGCGTTGTGGGCAGCAGAGAGCAGTATTGCAAAATCCATCATTGTTCTGTACTCCCACTACCTTCAACCTGCACCGACCAGCGTGGTGAAGTGTGGACAAAATAACCCACGCCCTGTGCGGCATGGGGAGGCCCTCATGCAGCGGTGGATTGACAAATGTGCTGTACGTGTACATCGGCTCCATCAAGAGATGTCAAGGGGTCATACCAGTCGATGCTGTTGATGCCACAGACGCTTGCAATCACAACTTCCTTCTGCCACTTTGTCAGATTCAATAAACGCCCTTCAAACTGCACTCTCTCTGCCTTCAGGTCTTAAACTTTAATTGCCAACTGCCACTCCTATGCCGATTCCAGTGGTGTGCACTCCGTTATAAACACGTGTCATCGTGCGTCTGAATTGATAACAATAATAAATGCGTGATTCTCATTGATGTCCAAAAATATATTAAAGTGCATATTATCCACAGCATTGGTTTTGGACTGATTTCGATATTCAGTATCTCATCAAGAGGCAGATTTGCTTGAAAGAAAGAATATTGTTAAAATGTCAGATGTTTACAGGCAAGTACCCTTTCTATAAGACAAGGGTCATAGTTCACCGCAAAACTAAATAATACTTAACAATGAATTATAATTCAGTGTTAGTGGATAATGCCGATAACAAATGGGCAAAGCCTCCTTCCCATCCGTAAGGTCTATCCTCAGATTGTAAATGTTGTGGATTTGCTCTCCAATACACCGGTGTGCTGTACTAGTGACAAATTGGCACGTTCTGTTAACGTGACAAACCTTACTAGTTGGCTGTGTCGGGTGGTAGCGAGTTTCATAACACATTTATATTTACACGACCGAACCCCCCAAATAACCAATATAAGGTCTATCCTGTCTGAAATTCCTCCGAAACTTTACATGCAATGGCAAGAGCCAGAGGATATTTCTCTGTTTGCTTTCAGAACACAATGGGGCTGGGAAGGCTTTTTAATTCATGGACTTAAACGATCTATTTTTGTGATTTAAGAGACCCTTAGGTGTTGTATTGTAACACTCGAAATTAATCTGCTTATGAAGCACAAATGGTTGTGAATAACGTAGAGCATGCACTGATAATCTGAGTTATCAACTAATCATAGTGCACATTGTCGTATTCACCAGTCTCATGTTCGAATCACACACAAAGTCCTGATGCAGATAACTCGTGCAAGTCCAGAGAGGGGTTTGTGCATTGCACGCGTGTGTGTGTGCGTGTGTGTGTTCAACATCGGTAGTGTAGCGGTTAGCGCGCTGCGCTATGAACCTGGCGACCCGGGTTCGATTCCCGCTCACGGCCAACACCAGTGACGATTATCTGAACCGGTCCCGGGCCTCCCCTAGGTCGACTCAGCCTCAAATGAGTATCTGGTGCGGTGTGTAAACATCGCCACTAGGGAGACAAAGGCGGTCGGGCGTGGTGCTGGCCACCCACCCCCTCGTGTACCGTTCCGGCCTTCATAGGTGCTCGCTAACAGCACTTGCCCCTACAGTTTGTTACAGGCTATATGGGGGATCTTTGTCTTGTGTGTCCCACGCGGCGTGCAGAGCGCCGATTCAAATGAATCACGTTCAAGGTGGGATGTTGAACAATCATCGGGTGCGGTCGTAAAGTGATAAAAATGCAGTCCTGCAATCACTCGGCCTGCAGAGTCTCTCGAGGTTGTTGGTCTACTCTCGGAAGAGGTGAAGGTGCCCACACTTTTACCCCACCGCACGTGACCGAATTGATCGACTCACTGTGACGTACACGTTTAGTCTCCTGCACGGTGGACACAGGCAGAGGGATTTGACGAAACTTTCCCCATTGTTTTGACTGCCGCGCCGAGTGATCTAACCGGCGACCTCTGGGTAGCCAGTCGAGTGCGCGCTGACCATTAACACCGCTGCCTGTGGCAGCATCTTCATTACATCACGACGCAATGCCAAATTGTAGACATATTTAGATTGCGGGAAACACTTTAAAGCGTTTTAGATGTAGAGAGCGCGTTGGTTGTGTGCTCATGACCCACTTAGTTTGATGAGAATCGCACGGTATGGACGCACAATCTTGACGAGTTGTCACCGCCAGTGCCGGATTAAGCTAATGCGGGGCCTGCAGCATATCTTATAAAGGGGCACTAAATAAAAAAAAACATTAAAAACACTTTTTTTACTTGCATAGTAAAGTAATTGTATTTTTTCATTAGCTATACAGGCAGATAATACGACAAATCGCTAACCGTAAACACCTAGTCGTTCATAAAAGTTGAAGGCAGTATAGTACTATAGTAATAGAGCAAGTGCAGACTCACTGAGCCGGAATTGACAGCTTGAAAGCATTTAGCGCGGGGCCTTTCAAAGTGCGGGGCCCGTAGCTACATATGTAGCTGCTTTTGCTTCCACGATAATCCAGCACTAGTCACTGCCC